GACAATACAAGTGCCATATGCATTTCAAAAGATCCAGTTCATCATTCTCGTGTGAAGCATATTCACATAAGGCATCATTTTCTTAAGGATAATGTTGAAAAAGGCTTAATTAAATTGGATTTTTGTGATACTGAAAATCAAATTGCTGATATTCTTACTAAGCCTTTGAGCAGGGAAAAATTTGAAAAGATGCGCATGGAACTTGGTATGATACAATTGAGTTAAGAAGACCTCAAGTTCCCCCCAAAGGTATAAGTCAACTATATATGCAATGTATGTCTTACACAATCCGAATATGTGAAAACATAGTCCTAAGCATTAGAATGTATGGCATTGCATATGGGATTGTGGCTGTATGTGATGAAATCAAATTGCATAAGGCATGTCCATGTTATAACAAACTATGTTGATTTGTTCCAAGTTCCTCCCAAATACTCTATTAGATTTTGTTTTATCCGTTTATAAATTAATTAGCTAATCAGTTAATTAATTTTATCCTTTTGAAAATCTTATCTTTCCATTCTGATTTTGAATTATTTTCGAGTATTTATCCTTAGAATTCAAATCAAAATTTTATTTAAATACCCAAGACTCTTCGAATTCAATTCAGAGTTTCTGATCAAAGATTATCTTCAATTAACCTAGACCCTTCATGTCAAATCACATTAAATTTAAAACTGGCCAAGTTAAAAGTAATTTCTCTATTCTTCATCAATCGACACCTGCACTATTCAATTAATCTTCCACACTCTTCCACCGACTCTTTTATCCCTTGAAATTCCATCCCTATAAAATGACACCAAACCCTACACACTGTTCCTCACCTCCTCACTCCGTAAAATACACCCTACATTTTACCGATTCAGCAAATTCACCCATGGATGTTTCACCAAAACCTCAGGTTACCCCTCAAAAGGATTCACCCATGGATATCGAGCAAGAGAATCAAACAAAATTCTCTGTTGAAAAACCAAAGAACTTGCCTGCTGAGTCAAAGAAACGAAAGCTGGAGGAAATCGAGGATCAGGGCTGGGAGGAATTAGGAGAAAAGATTCAGTTGGAAAAGTCTCCATCTCTCAAGAAAATTGAAGCAAGCTCTGAACGCTTCATTCATGGTTTCTGCATCAACTTACCGTGGTGTGAAGTAAGTAAGTACTCTGAATTACTTGAAATCTTAGAGGCTCAAAATTGGGTGCAATTGTTTAGTGAAAGTTACAATAATGTGCTTGCTCATGCTCCTTTGAAAGAATTATGTGCGAATTTTAAGAATTATGACGGTGTTTGTGTGTCAAGAGTTAAAAATAAGAAAATTAGTTTTGATGCTGATTATCTATGTGCTATTTTTGGAACTCCAAATGAGGGGTTTGATGAGTATTTTAAGGGAGCTACTGATAAAAGTGTAGGAGATGTGCCTATAAAAGAAATTGTGGAATCAATTGGTGGAAAGGTGTCTAAAGTCCAAACTAATCATAACCTGTTCTCTCCCATTCAGAAACTGTTGTTTATCTTTGTGCACTTAGCCATAGTTCCAAGAACTCAGCACAGGCATGAGGCTAACCACCTTGATGCTATGCTGATGTACTGCCTTGAAAACAAAATACAAATCAATTTCCCTTCCATCATGATAAAACATCTCACCCACTGTCTTGCAAACCATTTGAAAGTAGGATATGCAAATCTGATCATTACTCTCATTGAGAGTTTTGGTATTTCAGTAGAGAACTGTGAACATCTCAAACTACAAACCAATCATTTTGTACAACCCAAAACACTTGAAAGCGGAAACTTGCATGTTGTTGATGGTGTTACCCAATTTCTTCCAAAACAAACTCCTAAGGCTAAGGAAGGAGTTAAGGTTCTGACTGAGGAAGAGGAGTTGGACAAATGGCTGGAAGGAGAGGATAGTGAGGGAGAGGAAGAAAAGAAAGAAAAAATGAAAGACAAAGAAGAAAGTTTTGAAAAGAAAGGTAGGAAAGGTAGTGCTTATGGTACTGGGAAAAGGAAGAGCATTAGGTTGGTTGTTAAGCCAAAAATGAAAGCTGAGGCTCCAGCTGCTTTCGTAGATCTCAGTGAGGAGAAAGCTTTTGTTCAGGGGGAACAGGGAATGTTTATGCAAGAAACTGTCACTCGTTCTGCTCCAGTGAGTGCAGGTTCAGGATTTGCTGCCTTTAGTTCTGTGAGTTCCACTTTGGAACTGAAGGCACTCAAAGATGCTGTCAAGCTGCTGTCTGATGCTCAACCAGCACTGCTTCTGAGGATTGGGACTCTTGAGAAACTGGTGGGAGACCTGGTGCAAGCTTCTAAGGAACTCACCTCAGCAATGAAGGAAAGCACTTCAACTATCTCTCAAGGCCAGGCTGATTTGTTGAAAAAGCTGGAAGATATAGTTGTTGAAGAAGAATCGGCTGATGATTCAGGAGAAGAGCACAAGTCCTCGGCCCCTGAAGCCTAGTCCTATTTTTTGTCTATCTCATCTATCAAACTATCTTTTGATCTTGGTCTGTATTAAACTTGGTTTATTTGGTTTCTTTTGGTCTGTAAACTTTTAAAATAGGGTATTGTCTTTTTGATGTCCTGGAGGAACATAAGTTTGTTTATATGGATTTTGCTTGCTTGCTTTATGACTATTTGCATACTATTTCTGCCTATATGTGCTTTGTTCTATGCTTTGGACACAAACCATCACAATGGTGCTGTGTTTAGATATATATATGCATTAATTTTGATGAAATCCAAAAGGGGGAAAATAAAGGCAAACTCAATTTTTGACAAGCTTCTCCATCCATCTGTAACTAAGGTATATAAGGTATATAATTTAAATTCAGTTCCTTGTTATTTGATAATATTTTTGGTTCTGATTTACTTGATTGTTACTTCTTTGTTTTACTGAGTTTGCTTAGGTTTGTCATTCATCAAAAAGGGGGAATATTGTTGACCTTACATGTTTTGATGATGACTCAAGGAACCTAAGCAAACCTATAACAAGTTTAACTTTCGGTTTTAGCTTTGATTTATGACAGGTTTGTGCTAGGAAATTCTTGAGTGAGAAGGGAGCATGTAACAAGATCAGAGCTAGCTATGGAAGAATAAAGAAATAAATCAAGTTGTGTTCCTTGAAGGGAACTGAAGCTCAAGAATTTAAGCTTCAAAGGAAAGTTCCTTGAGTGAGAAACTGCAGCTTCAGAGTCAAAGCTTCTCAGAGTATCAAGGAGTCTAATGTATTTTATCTTTACTTTAGACAACTTGTATTTATGTTAAGTACATTACAATTGATAGGATTTAAGTGGATTTAATTTTAATTTGATAAAGATTTTATTTTCCATATTTTAACTTTATTTCGAAAAATATCTTTTTAGTTAAAATATCTTGTTAGTTAAAAAGATTTTCTGTTTTAATTCTATCCTATTATTTTGGAAAATATAATTTGGAAAATATTCTTTATAAACGGTTGTTTTACTTGGTCAAGGAAGTTGAGAGAAAATAGGAAGCAGTAAACCACGCACTTCCTTGTAATGTGCTCAGCTTGCTGCCCAAGCATCCACGAATTGCACTTCCTTAGTTTAAGGAAGTTGTGATTAAGTGATGATTAAGGCAACTACGATTTAACTGCCAAACTCTTTTATAAATAGCCTTGGTTTTTAGTTGGAAAAACACACTTGAGCATTACAGTCTTTTAGCTTTTGAAAAAGAGTCATAATCCACTTAAGTCCTTGAGTGTCTTTGTACTTAGCAATTTAGAGTTTAATCTTTGAGTTGTATTGGGTTAGAGTTTGGGGAAACTCTAATAGTGTTTTATTGCTTTGAGTGAAGCAAGGAGAAAAAGAGAGAGTTTGAGAGTTCGACTGATTGAGGGATCAGTTGAAGGGAGCTTAAGTTCATAGAGGAACTTGAATTTAGAGTCTTAATTTGTAATAGGTTGTTTGCCCTATTATTATTAAGAATTGAGTTTAAAATCCCTTGTGGTCGTGGTTTTTTTTCTTGACTAGGGCCAAGAAGTTTTCCACGTAAAATCTCTCTTTGCACTTTTAGTTTTTATTTGAGCTCCTTTATAAATTCCGCAAAAATTACCCTAGTTCCTCTACAATACAATTCACCCCCCCTCTTGTATTGTTCATTCGAGTCAACAGTATCTATACATATTTTTTGACAGTAAATGTTTTTAACTATTTATAAGTAAAAATTAGTAAGGTAAAGTTTTGATAATTTACAATTATTATAAATAGTTACAAATAGTAAGTGAATAAAGCTTTCAATAACAAATTTAATTATACTAATTTATAATGAACACAACATAATAAATCCCTTAAAGATTAACTCGGACCAATAAAAAAAATTATAAGTTTCTTAGTTGCCTGCATTAGAAATATCACCAACTAAACTAGTTAATATCCATGTTACAAGCACTACATGATTCATAACAAAGAATTTTTTACAAAGATCCCACAAAAAAGACGACTCTTTTTGTTTGTAGTGGCCACAACTAATTGTAATCGTACACTTATTAATGCCTTAAAAGTTGCAGCCACAAGAGAGAAACGTTATACTTGTAGCGACAATAATAGTTGCGTAGGATAGCTAGATTAATGTGCACACAAACTCTTTTGTTTAAAAGATTAGAGGATTCTTACTCTTCAACCTTTAAAATGGTGAAAAGTGTAATAGATATTGTCTTTTTTTTATCTCAATACGTTGTTTCTTTACATGTAGTTCACTTATTGTTGTTGATGTACATGCATGCATTATTGCTGACTAGAGGATAGGTCGATGTAGACGTTAGACTTGCATATTCTCATAGACAGCTTGGATTTTAGATAAATAATATGATCCACCAGCTCATCTCAAGTATAAGTAAATACGAGGTGTTCTAAACCGAGGGTTGAGAGAGACTTAGAAGTATCTCGCAGGAGCTGGTTGGTCATTTCACGCGAGATTTAAATTTTGTCATTATAGATTTAGTGGTATAAAATATACTCTTAGTGGTACAAGATATAATTTCATTGGTATTTCAAAAAAAGGTTCAAATGTCCCATTAAGCTATCAATTAATTTCATTGGAGCTTCACTGGTACAAAATATACTCTCAGTAATACACAATACAATTTCAATGATACTTACAAAAATCTTCAGTGGTACAAAATATATTCTCATTAGTTGGGGTCCCAATACTTTTTTGTCTATTTTGCACATAAAACCATTTTTTACCATTTAGGTGGGCCCCACCCCAACTTTTTTTCACTCTCTCTATATATCTCTTCCTTTCTCCTTCTTACTAGTACATTTGTTATATTATTTTATGTTGTGAGACGTTTTCATTTGTCTCACAACCCTACATTTATACTTCCTCAAGTAAATACTCATATGATCTTTCCACTCTCTTCTATGATGTCATGTTTTGATTCTTATTTCAAAAAAATTAATACAAAGTAGTTTATTATGCTATACTTTGGATTTTCTTGAAAAAAAAAAAAAAAAAATTGTGAATGAGGTCAAGAATACTATTTGGTTATTATCTTTTCCTCTCAATTTGAATTGAGCTAGCAGATGAAACATGAAACCCTTTAGAGATGAAGAAAATTAAAACAGTAAAGGATTTTGTTAGGAAATATAGGGAGAGGAATATTATTCATAATTATCATATATTATGTTTTCTGATTTATAGCCTTAGATTGACACAAGATAACAGTTATAATATCTTGTGATGATATCTTTTAGGAATTTATGTACTCTATATATGATTTGAGATGAATGCAAAGAGACTCAAGCTTTGAGCCCTAAACAATTTATCATGATATCAATCGCTTAGGTATACTTAAAAATTTTAAAAAAAAAAAAAAAAAAAACAGAGAAGAAGAACACAAACAGAACCTTAAACGCCATAGCCATAGCTGGTGACGATACTCCGCCTCCTCCACCACCACGCATAGATACTACATCTCCTTACTATCTTGGTCCTCACGACCGTCCAGGAGATTTCATTACCCCGACTCGCCTTCGTGGAGAAAACTATGATGAGTGGGCCGGAGACATACAAACTGCGTTGGAGGCTCGCCGGAAATTCGTGTTTCTTGATGGAACAATCACATCACCATCTCTTCCATGTACTCAGACCGATTGGAACACAATTCGTGCCATGCTCATCTCTTGGCTTATGAACACAATCGATCCCGAGGTTAAAGGTACCCTGTCCAAATACAAAGATGCTAAACGCTTACGGGAGACTCTCAAGATGCGTTTTGCTACGGTGAATGGTCCAAGAATTCAGCAATTGAAATCTGCAATTGCTAAATGTGAACAATCCAAAGTCATGTAAGTTGCGACGTACTTCGGCAAATTGACAGCCCTTTGGGAGGAATTGAACAATCACGAACCTCTGATCACTTGTTCGTGTTGTGATAAATGTACAGCAGGGTCTGAGCATGAAAGAAGGCGTGAGAATACTCGACTTCACGAGTTTTTAATGGGACTTCACTCTGATTATTTCTCACAAACTCGAACTAATATTTTGTCTCAAGAACCATTGTCTTCTCTTGATCGTGCATATCAATTGGCCATCCAAGATGAACGAGTTCGGCAAGCAAAACAGAATACCGAGGAACAACCACCTGATGCGGTGGGATTTGCTCTTCGAACAAACACAGGGAAGGGGAAGCCTCCGATTTCTGATGACAAATCAGTGTTGCTCTTCACATATTGCAAGAAACAAGGTCATCTAATTTCTGGTTGTTTTGAATTAAAAGGTTTTCCAGAATGGTGGCCAAATCCTTCCAAGAGAAGCAAGACTCCACAATCCGGTGCAAAAGGCCGCAACCAGCCACATGCTAATGCCACTACTGCTGCTCCTTCTGCCAGCTCCAGCAATGCCGAGTCAGGGGGAAGTGTATCTCAAATGTTCACGGCAGAACAGTGGAAAGCAATAGCAGGTTTTGTGGGTAACACAAAAATTCCCGATGACCGTTTGAATAGTGAGTTCGACAATGATTTGTGGATTGTTGACACAGGTGTTTCTCGGTATGTCACGAGTACTGACAAATGGCTCTTTGATACTCGAAACATCTCACATTGTCCTGTCGGGCTTCCGAATGGCAAAACTGTAAAAGCCACAAAGGAAGGCTCGGTTCAATTGTCATCGAATATTGTTCTTAAACATGTGTTGTTTGTTCCCGATTTACGTTGCAATTTAATTTTGATATCACAATTGATCGATGATACTAATTATACTGTCCAATTTAACTCTCATATGTGTGCTATACAGGACCAGTTGAGGGAGCTGATTGGAACGAGTGTTAGGCGAGATGGACTGTTTTACTTTGAAGGACACGCAACGGTGCAACAGGTGGCTATTTCTGAGTCTTCGACAGAGTTAGAACTGTGGCACAAGCGAATGGGTCATCCTTCAGAAAGAATAGTAACACTTCTCCCTCCCGTTCTTAATTGTAAGGGTAGTTTGAATAAAGCATGTGAAGTTTGTTTTCGTGCTAAACACCCTAGGGATAGTTTTTCTTTGAGTGAAAATAAAACCTCTAGAATATTTGAAAAAAATACATTGTGATTTGTGGGGTTCATATAAACATGCATCATCTTGTGGTGCTCGTTATTTTTTGATAATAGTTGATTATTACTCTCGTGTTATTTGGATTTACTTGCTTGTTGATAAAACATAAGTATTTCGTATGTTCATGCCTTTTGTGGCAATGGTTGATAGACAGTTTTCTCAAACAATAAAAATCGTTCAAAGTGACAATGGCACTGAATTTAATTGTTTGCGAGATTTTTTTAATGCAACAGGCATATTATTTCAAACATCATGTGTTGGGACTCCACAACAAAATGGCCGGGTTGAGAGAAAACACAAACACATTTTAAATGTAGCAAGGGCATTGAGATTTCAGGCTAATTTGCCTATATTTTTTTGGGGTGAGAGTGTCCTTGTTGCAGCTCATTTAATTAACCGCACTCCTTCTATCTTGCATAACAAAACACCCTATGAAATTTTATTTTATACAACCCCCTCTTATACTACCATTCGAACATTTGGTTGTCTTTGTTTTTCTCACAATAAAAAAACCAAGGGTGACAAATTTGCAAGTCGAAGTCATAAATGTGTTTTTGTCGGGTACCCATATGGGAAGAAAGGCTGGAACCGCTTTGATCTTGATACAAAAGAATATTTTGTGTCGCGTGATGTTAAGTTTTTTTGAGGATGTTTTTCCATTTCTTGTTCCAATTTCATCAAATATTATTCCGGAAAAAATTGTGCCAATAAATGTGGAAGTGCCGTTTAATTTTGATGATGTGCATTTGGACTACCAAGATGTTGATAATGGCAGGGGTAATATGTCCAACTCGGACCAGCATCATAACGCTACTCCCCAGGCAGGTTCTGCCACGCAGGAGGACACTGCGGCAGCTGGCAGGGCGCTGGCCGAAGGCATGGATGCCACTGCCCAGCCCGATGGCATACCAGCGCCCACTGGTGTGGGCGTGAGCAGTGGCACCAACAGCGACAGCACACAGCAGGGGCAGCAACATCAATCCCCTGCTGCAGCCACGCATCCTCAGCCTCACAACCAAGCCTCTTCTTCACTTGATCCGACTCCCACGCACGCAAATGATACTCAATTGGGTAGAGGCATGCGTGACAAAATACCAAGTGTTCTATTAAGGGATTATGTCACTCACACTATCATCACAAACAGTCCATCGTCTCTTACATCTCCTAACACTCTGTCTCCAATGCACCCTCAGGTACTCCTTATCCTATAACACATTATATTAATTGTGACAGTTTTTCTCCACATTACCGAAATTTTATTGCAGCTATAACTTCCGGCAAAGAGCCAAGGTCTTTTAAGGAGGCCATGAAAGATGCAGGTTGGAGACGTTCAATGCAAAATGAAATTCAAGCTCTAGAAAAAAATGGGATGCACCTGTGGCTAAAATGGTCACTGTTCGAGTCTTTCTTGCTATTGCAGCTTCTAAAAACTAGGAGCTCCATCAGATGGACGTCCACAATGCTTTCCTTCGTGATGATCTTGAAGAGGAAGTCTACATGAAACTACCTCCGGGTTTTGAATCTTCGCATCCTAATAAGGTATGTCGCCTTAGAAAATCCTTATATGGCCTGAAACAGGCTCCTCGATGTTGGTTTCCAAACTTACCTCTGCCTTGAAGGCTTATGGTTTCTTGCAGTCATACTCTGATTATTCTTTGTTCACTTACACTAACCGTGGCACACAAATTAATTTTCTTGTGTATGTCGATGATCTTATTATCTCTGGGAATAATTCCGCTGCTTTAAGGGCATTCAAGGCTTATCTCAGTGACTGTTTTCATATGAAATATCTTGGTGCTCTGAAATATTTTTTGGGCATAGAAGTTGCTCGCAGTTCTTCTGGGTTGTTTTTGTGTCAGAAAAAATATACTCTTGACATTATTTCAGAGACAGGATTATTAGGTTCAAAGCCCGCCGACTTTCCTATGGTACAGAACCACAAGCTTGGTCTAACAAGTGGCCCCGTACTTTCTGATCCTGAATCTTATCGCAGACTTGTCGGCAGGTTGATCTATCTTGCAGTCACTAGGCCGGATTTAGCCTATTCGTTTCATATTTTGTCTTAGTTCATGCAGGAACCAAGAAAAGAACACTGGGAAGCAGCTCTGCGAGTTGTTAGATATCTGAAAGGCACACCAGGTCAAGGTATTTTGTTACGATCTGATAGTGTACTCACTCTGCAGGGGTGGTGTGATTCAGACTGGGCCGCATGTCCCTTAACACGCAAATCTTTGACGGGATGGCTAGTGTTTCTAGGCTATTCCCCTATTTCATGGAAGACCAAGAAGCAACCAACTGTTGCTACAAGTTCGTCGGATGCAGAGTATCGCCCCATGTATGCCATTACTTGTGAATTAAAGTGGTTGAAGGGTCTTCTCTTGAGCTTAGGTGTACAACATCCCAAGGGTATTAAACTATTCTGTGATAGTCAGTCAGCATTGCACATTGCAAAAAACCCGGTGTTTCACGAACGTACAAAGCATATTGAAGTTGACTGTCATTTTGTTCGAGATGCTATCACAGATGGTCTCATTGCTCACTCCTATGTTCCAACTCATGTCCAACTGGCCGATATCTTCACCAAACCGCTGCGCAAACCGCAATTCGAACATTTTCTTCTCAAGTTGGGCGTTTTCACTCCACCCGCTCCAACTTGAGGGGGGGGGGGTGTTAGGAAATATAGGGAGAAGAATATTATTCATAATTATCATATATTATGTTTCCTGATTTATAGCTTAGATTGACACAAGATAACAGTTATAATATCTTGTGATGATATCTTTTAGGAATTTATGTACTCTATATATGATTTGAGATGAATGCAAAGAGACTCAAGCTTTGAGCCCTAAACATTTATCAGATTTCCACTTTAGAGAGTCACTTAATGAGAAATGATCTTACCCACCATGACTGTAAGATATATGTAAACTTTCAATAGGTTAATTAAGCTTGTTTGGTATATGTACTAGGATTAGAATTAATTAATTTTAAGTGAATGCCATCTAATCATGTACGTCATATAAATAAAAAATTGAATACAAATCATATTACTAATTCAAGTCTTGTTTGATGTATTAGAGTTGGGATTGAATTAATTCAAAGTGAATGAATCTAATCATTTCGTATATAAAACATATTGTATATTGATTGCAAACAAACAATTTAAGTATGATGGTAGTGTTTCTTTTGAATAGGGGTCCTTAATCATATTTTGAGTCTTATTTTAATATGTCTATTATCCTTGGGTGTGTTATACAATTTGCATTCATCAATAACTTTAATAATAACTTTAAAGTTTGATGCTAACACTAGTAGAATTAATTAAATTGATAATGTCAACTTTTAGAAAATTATTGTTCACAAGATGTTTAGATGAGACATATTATTCCAACCAATCTAAACTCGTGCTTTTTCGACTAAAGTATGTATCATTGCTTCATTGGTAAATCGGCTCCCTTAATATACTTACGAGTATATGCAAATAATTCAAAGTAGTTTTTGAACCCCTTAATGTCTTACGGCTCTTGCTATTGGGTGCAAAAGTTGTGATGATTTTGCTTCCTAAGTGGAGTTTAATACTCCTTCCGTCCCTAAATTACATTCTTACTTCTCTCTATTATGTGAGGAATAAATGATAAAAATAGAAATGTAATAATTGGGGACGGGATGAGTATATATATATATATGATCTTTTTGGTATGATGAGATAAGAAGTGTACAGATGGCTAGTTATCTGACTTTTAGACGTGAAGTCAACTCATTTTTGGAGGAATTTTCATAAATTACCCACCTTCTAGGATATAAGAGTTGTTACTCCCTTCCTTTGTTTAATTATTACAATTATTTTTTTAGGTCAAATTCTATAATTTTTAAACTCAATTTGTACATGATTCAATGTGTTTTTTCACATAAGAAATATTTGTAATGTACATTAAAAAAAAAAAAAAAAAAAAAAAAAAAAAAAAAAAAAAAAAAAAAAGCCACAAGTAGAATTTGGATATTGGCGTATTGCTTCCAATCCACACATTCGTTTCTACCTCTTGTGATATATGTAGAACTTAATTCTATTGTCTCATTCTAAACCTTCATCATTTAATATTCCATAATATTGTGTGTGTTGGTATTATGTTCAACTACATTTTATATAAAATTAAAGAAATTTGACATTATGAAAGTACACATCATGGCAGATATAATAAAGTATACAACGTAATATAAATATGTTTGTTCTTTGAATGAAATATTTTAATGGGATTGTAAAAAGAAATGAAGATTGCAATATTCTAACTGATTGTACTCCATATGATTATATGACCATATGTATTGCATATTTGCTTACGGAGTGTCACAAGCTTTGGACATAAACAACAAATTAGTTAATAGTAGCTAATACTTGTATGAGGAAAACAAACTTCAACCAAACCATTGTTTTGTTTGTTCTTAAAGTAGCTTGTGAGGAATGTGTTGGATACAAAATAGCTATCGAAATAAGTAATAAATAAATCTATGCAATGGTGATTTTAAATGTTAATTTGGTAGCTTTTGACAAATATCGTTCCAAAAGTTGGTTTTATTTGTTTTTGAGAAGCACTACTTGTTAATAAGGAGTAATCATTAATTTATGGGCATTTGGGCAAATTTACTAGCCCTTTAATATTCTCGAAAGCGGCCCAAGAACATTAGTTTGTATCTAATCTGCACTCAATGCACATTTGCACCCAAGTGACCCAATGCAAGTGCGGAAAGGAACGGTTAGGCCAAATTGGCAAAGGGGTAGGTACAAAATCCAAGTAAAGCAAGGTTTTTTTTTTTTATGCAAAAGCAAGGGTTTTAAACTCGATAGACTTGCAACCTTCAAGTAGAGGTGTCAAAATCCTATACTTATCCAACCTAAAGCCGAACTGAAAAATATTAGATTTAGATATCGACTTAATTGGATACAATAATTAAGCATGATTCAAATTTAAAAATAAACTCGACCCAAACACCCGGATTGACACATATGCCTCCAAGGACTCAAACACTCGAATTGACACATATATCTTCAAGGATTTCAATTAACATACATTCTTATATGTGGTTGGCCACACCGTCTGGTCAGTCATCTTAGGGGTTACTTTATTAGTGTAATAGAGGTTAATTTGCCAGTGTCAAAGGATTACTCAATTAGTGTTAAAGGGGTAATTCGGCCATTGATTCATTGTAATAGAGGCTACTTGGTAAGTATAATAGAGGTTACTCGGTCAATGCTATAAGGGTTACTTTGCTCTTATAAGTGGTCACACGGTGTGGTCAACCACACAAAATGAATTGTTCAATTGAATATACTTTGCCAAAAATAATAGAATCCAAGTACGTTTCAAAACTCAACCAACTTTGACACTTCACTTTAATTTATATCTTATTCATTCCTTGAGCTTGAAGTTATATATTCACTCAACCATGATTTAAAAAAAACACATATATTTATAAAGAAAAGAAAGATCATAACCATTAAGAGCTAGACACTTTTCTAAGTAAGGAGTGTCAATCCGCCATGTGTCATTTTTTGTTACATTTCGCCATATCATCTCCGTGTCATTCGAACCCAAAAAAAAAATTGACATAAAGTTTGTAACCGGCATTACTAATGCTACCATAATTGTCAATAGTGATTTATGTATTCAACATTAAAACATTTACTTAGCAGTTATAAAATGAAGCAATTCAAAGTGTTTTTTTTTTGTTTTTTTGTTGGTAATTACTATTCTAATTTTTTGGACTCAATTGAAGTATTGGAATCATTAAAATAGTAATTACAAAAAATTGTTGAATTGCCTCATATTATAACTGTTAAATATTTAATGACTTAATTATGAAATTAATGGATGAATTACACTTTTTTTTAATATTATAATCAAATGAAAACTTTAATATTAATACTTTGACACTTACCCTATCCTTATAAAATAAAACACTTTGCTATTGTGGTTGTGTGGTCAGAAATACCAAAAATTTGTTACAATAATCGCTCATCCGCTATTAATAAAATTGTAGTGCATAATTTTTTATAGTATTGTTAGAGTAAAGAAAGGGTAATTCTGAAGTGACATGACTTTCTTAATTTTTTTTTTTGTAAGAACATTAATTTTTATATATCATTAGTTTGTATAGTATTTTTTTAAATCTATATGCTATACTTATCTCCTTTCAAAAAAAAAAAACATGCTTATCCGTAGATTTATAAGTATTGTATAGGTACTATGAAAATTGTAATCTACCTTCCCCAATAGTTTTTATATATTACTAATAAGGTTTGTTACCGTTTAATTTTCTATCATATCAATCACTGGTGTGTGTAGTGTTAATATGTCTTCTTACACAAGTTGATCATTTGTTGAAATATAGCTTACATTCTGTGATTAGATGTCATTCCTCTTAGTTTTCAATTATTATTTTTTTTTTTTGTGTGTGTGTGTGTTATTTGTAGTATTGTTCAACTGGCTTATTTTGGTCAACACTTTACAAAGAAATATGACAAGAAAAAAATGAAATATACTACGTACATTGGACTCTTTATAAGGAGTGAAAAAAACGATGGTATAGTAGGATAAGAGTACAAACGGTATAGTTTTTTAGGACTATAATGGTAATCTACGATTTACAAAAAAAATGACTTTTAAAACTATTAAATAATCTAGAGAAAAATAAACATTGTGGAACTGATACTTGTGGTCAATTCAATTTATTGATTCTTTTAATTTGTGCAATACGGAGTAATAATATTAAAAGCTATAAATTTCAATCACTCTATATCCACAATCATCTAAAAAATATAATTCGGGGCATCGTCCGGGTCACTAACTAGTTATTACTTAATTAGATAGACTATTTTCATTCTACTTAGCTTATGCTAAGTCTTATTTTATTACTCGCTTTACTCTCCTTTTATGACCGTATTTTATTAATTACCTGATGGTTGAGGCCCAGGAATATGTTTTATACTCTATCACTCCCCCTCACATGAAAGGCCAATTTGGGCTTTGAAATGTGGATGCAACATAGGCCCACCCATACCTAGTGCGAATTTATTCCACTTTAAAGGAGGAGCGGCTGAGATTCGAACCCGTGACCTTTGTGTCATGCTGGCTCTGATACCATGTTAGAGGATCAACTCAACCAAAAACTTAAGCTGATGGTTGAGGCTTATGAATATGTTTTATACTATATCACTTTTCATATCATATTTTTATTTATTTTTTTATTTCTTGATATTTACTCTCCTCTTCACTTTTACATTTGTTGTTTTTTTTTTCAAATAATGTAATAGTCTTTTTTTTTTGGAAGGTAAGAAAAAAAAAAGGAAAGAATTAGGACCCCCTCCTCACGAGGGGTGATCCTAAAGCATCTGAGGTGAGAATGGGGTACAAAGCTGAAGAGGTACAAAAATAAATATCTAATTTGTCAGTGACAAGATGGACAACATTTGCAATCCAATCTGCTGCTCTGTTTGCTTCTCTGTAGACTTGTCGAATTTTCCAATGGGGGAATCTACGAAACAGGATCTTGATATCTGCTATAATGTGATCAATCTGCCACGGGGTCGACCAAATACCATTCACTGCGTTGACGACGAGGAGATTGTCCCCTTCAATTTGAAGATATTGTATTCCTTGTTGGAGGGCGAGGATAATACCCTTGTGAAGACCAAAAGCTTCAGCTACAAAGACGTTGGTGGTTCCAAGGTTGAAAGCTTGTGCTGCAATGGGTTTACCGTCACTGTCTCTGATGATGACTCCTGCTGCTGATGAATTGTTTTTCACCGAACTGTCTAGTTTGAAGGAGTTGAGATGAGGAGCTTCCCATGCAACTAATTGTGGGTTAGGGTGGTTTGGGTGAGGAAGATGATGGGTTTGGGCTCTCTGCATAAGAGACCCCGAACTTAAAGAGGTATCTATGAGCATGCGATAATTCCACTCTTTGAACGCAAATTGCGCTCGGTGGAAGGTTCTAGGGATGTCAAGAGTCTCATTCTTAAAAATAATAGAGTTTCGTTCTTTCCAAATACTCCATAAAAGGAAGATAACCTTTCGAGGGAGGAGTTGTTTTTCCGAAGCATAGATAGTGTCGTTACTAAGTCTGTAGGTGGAAGTTCACCAGGCAACCAGCTTTGGGTTAAAGTGTGGTTCCAAATTTCTTTGGCCTTATCACAAGTAAGAAATAAGTGATTGTGAGATTCCGGATAAGCAGAACAAAAGGTGCAAAGATTAAAAGGAATAATCTTTCTTATATAAAGGGTGTCTCTAACTCCAAGACTATTATGCATTATTTGCCATAAGAAGATTTGGAGTTTAGGCGGGATATCCAGTTTTCATATCCAACGATGTGGCCATTTTACAACATTTGGCTCTAAATCATGTGTTATCCATGTAGCCGACTTTACCGAAAAATTCCCCGAAGGTGTAGGGCCCCATACTGGTGTGTCAGTCATTTGAGTGCTAGGTAAAGGTGTGCCTATGATTAGTTGTACAATATAGTGTGGTAATAAAGAACAAAGCTTATGTTTATTCCAATGTCGATCTGGGAGAATAAAGTCTGCAACCCTTAAGTTAATGTTGACTTGGTGGCCTTGTAATCCGAAGGTTTCTAGGAGACTTTTATTTGTGACCCAGTTGTCTAGCCAAAAGTAAATGTCATTGCCATTACCGATTTTCCAACGAATGCCTTTGCGCAGAATCTCCCTTTGCGCAAGAATGCGTTTCCATATATGTGAGTCTTTATGTTGAAGTTGATATTCAAAAAAAGAGGAGTTATGGAGATATTTCTCTTTTATGAGTTTAACCCAAAGATTAGTAGGGTCTGATAGGATCTTCCATCCTAGCTTGGCCCCCATCCTAGCTTGGCTAGGAATGCTTACATGTGGTACAAGTATTTAAAAGAGAACGGAGGAGATACGATTTTTATTATTATTATTATTATTATTATTATTATTATTATTATTATTATTATTATTATTATTATTATTATTATTTTATTTTATTATTTTTTTTTTTACGAGGAGGAGATAAGATTCTATTAACATCAAGAAGGATTAAAATTATTTCTAACTTCATCATAGTTCAATAAACCCAAGTATAGCATTAACATCATCATCATCTTGTTCATACAAAAATTCCGTACTCAAAAAATCTCACATTAATCAAAGACAAACTAGGTACATTAAACACCCACAACTTAAAACCTTAACAAAACATCAATGCTAAACACTTGGCATAAAACCAAACAATTTTAACAAAAACCTAAATCTCTACCTAACCATAAAAAACTACAATGGCTCATCCAAACGAACCAAATCCACTTCATCATTAGCCAAAAAACAATGACTCTTAGCCTTTAAACCTCTCCTAAACCAATTACTAACCACCAACTCTTCCATCTTCCTAACCATCTTAACCACAAAATTCTCACCATCTCCCGTCAATGGTTCAGTCAAAACCGTAAAAAACCCGTTTCGGTTTCCGAAAACAATATCGGTGAACCGGCGATCACCAACCATAACAACCTCACCTGTTTTACACCCAAATAATCTTATAATTTCCTCGGAACCGCCACCCGGTTTCTTCACCTTATGCCGCACCACTGCGATCCCCAATTCCCGCTCCACCGCCTCCGCCCCCGAGTCATCCGGATCAAACTCGTACAATCCAACCGAGTTACTCAACACGGCGACTTTCCCTTCGCCGAACACGGTTTTACAGCTATCCATTGAACCCTTAAGTGGGTCCCAAAGATTTAACGAATAAGGTAATGTAATCGTGTTATCTTTGTCGAATACAACAGCTTTGAACCCTCTTCGATGGAGTTCTTCCCAGTTAATGTACCGTATGTTGGGGATTTTGATATGTGGGAGGAGTAAATGGGGGTCGTTTGTTAGGACTTTTGAGGAAGAAATTATGCCCTCGAGGTTGAATCGTTGGCCTATTGCTCCTTTGAGTTTTGCCCACCACATGTTTGTGAAAATGCCCCAATGAAAGTTTAAGGGTTTTGATTTTTCTGCGCTGTTAAGGATGATGATTGGGGGTATTTTCTCTCTCCTAAGATGGAGATTTCTGGGTTTTATTTTAAGAGGGGTTGTTTTGATGATTTGGGTTAGATGATTATTTAAAGAGTATTTTGTGCAGAGAGTTGTTGTTGTCGGTGAAACATGGAAGAAAGGAAGTGAATGAGCCATTTTTATGTAGGTAATTTTCACTGGAAAGGGATTAAATCTGTTTAATGTTTTTTTAAGTGACATTGTTAAATTTATTTTTTCTGTGGTTAAGGTTGAGGGCTCAAGGCTGGACCATCGCCAGTTGGCCCACTTCCTAACGGTTTTCAGCTCCATTAGATATTTGGGTTAACTTAGCAACCTAGACTCCCTAAAGAAAAAATAAATAAATAAAATAAATATAACTTTGGCCAAAGTTATATTTATAATTTTTTTTGTTTTTTTTTTTTTTTTTTTTTTGTGTGTGTGTGTGTGTAAAGGGATCTCAGAGAGCAATATTATTTAAAAACGGGAAATCATACAAGATCAAGCTTCGCCAAGGTAGAAATGCCTTGCGGAAAGTTACTAACAAACTCTTGCTTAACCCCATTCGCAAGAACACGCCTAGCCATTTAGGGCCTGTTTATATTTACTGAATTGTGCTGAACTGAACTAAATTGAACTGATTGGAGCTGAACTGAACTGAATTGAGTTGAAATAAATATTTTATGAGAGAAGGAAATTAGGAGCTGAACTGAACTGATTGGAGGTGAACTGCACTGAACTGATCTGAACTGAACTGAACTGAACTGAAATTAAGCAAATATGAACAGACCCTAAGTGCACTACACAGTTTCCACCCCTTTTTGATGTGACTACAAGAAAACAAATCAAAATTTGTTCCCAACCTGCAGACATCTTCAATGACAAGTCAACAGACTTCCTCCCAACTTTCTACAAACAAATAGGCTTAACAATATTCACGGCATCACATTGTAACTTCAATCTCTCATAGCCCATATTTCTAGCCAAACGCACAACTAAAGTTTCAGCCACCACCACATAATTAATACCAGGGAAATGACACACCATAGCAGCAACAATCACCCCCTGTTGTCCAGCAACACCGCACCTAAATCAGCCACACCATCACGCAACATTGCTGCATTAGAATTTACTCTGAACCAGCCCTCGGTAGACGGATGCCACGCACACATCAGTCCTCCTTGTGCCACCCACAACATGCCCATCATATTTCTTATAGTCTTCAACCAACCGAATGAAGCCTAACACTCCCATTTGACAATTACTCAAAAAAATCGATTAAAGAAGGAACTAGAAGGAGCATCAACTAAAGTACCTGCAAACGGAGAGTGATCCCAAATGTAGCGAACCTGCTCACACTAAAAAATAGCATGGATGATTGTTTCATTCTCACCCTGACATAACCCACACATCCCATCGCTTCTAATGTGACAGTCTTGCAGTCTTCCAAGGGTAGTAAGTGAGCCAGTAGCTGCCCTCCACAAAAAATTGACTTAATTTCGGAGGACCCTCGATATTCCATATTGTATTTTAGACCTCTCCTCTATCTTTACCATACAAATTTGCCCACCCACTAACATGACCTAACTGACCAAGCTAATAACCCAACTTAGTTATGTAATTACCATCAGATGAAGGCCACCAATATCTCACATCCTCCGTATCCCTCAAACTAATAGGAATGCTTTGCACAAGGTTGATATCACTGTCAATAAGGTGTTGCTGCAATTTCTCATTATCCCAACCAATGGTGAGCGTTATCCAGAAGATCTGCCACCAAAAGATCCGGAGAGCTTTCTATGTTCAGAGTAGGAACCAGTCCCACATTGTCACTAGGGAGCCAGGCGTCCTCCCAAATCTTAATGTTGTGACCATTACCCACCTTCCATTTCAAGCCATCAATTAAAAGAGACTTGGCACCCCCCAAATACTTCTCCACACAAATCTTGGGTCATGACCTCAATTAGCTCACTGAAAATCACCATTCTTAAAATATCTCACTTTCAACACTTGATGAATAAGGGAGTCCGAGTTGCATAACAACCTCCGACCTTGTTTTGCCAAAAGAGTTTGGTTAAAAATCGGTTAAAAATCTTCAAGTCACGAAAACCCATACCACTAAGGTTCTTAGGCAAACACAATTTCTTCCAACTAATCCAATGTAGCTTTCATCCTGTTCCTTTAGCATCCCACCAAAACCTAGCAATCATAGCATGGATATCATCAAGTAAACCATCTGGAATACGAAACAACCCCATCATATAAGTTGGAATTGCTTGAGCCACATCTTTGATCAAAACCTCCTTCCCGGCTTGTGAAAGTAGCTTTTCTTTCCACCCTTGCATCTTCTTCCAAATCCTCTCCTTCAAACACGCAAACACCACTTTTTTAAAATGACCAATTATAGTTGGAACCCTTGTTTAGTCCAACTTATCTATTAACTAATCCTAAAACAAAATGTTGCTAAAATCACGCTTTCTCCAAATTGTACACATGTCATTCTGACATAAAAAAATTTCAACCAATTTTCTATGGTAATGTCATTAATTTTAGTTTTTTTTTTTTATTTTTTTTTTATTTATTTTTTATATAATAAACCTTTCATATGTTTTGTCTTTTGTCCCTACCGAGTCTTTTTTTTACAAGTATGTTAATATTTCAATATTCAAAATTGTTCATTGTGTTTTTTTTACAAGTAATATGCTACAGTAGAAATTACTTACCATGTATACAAAAAATTAACGGAGTAGAAAACTTTCTTTCTCCGTATTATAAACAAATCTCACAACTGTATTTGTTTAAAATCGTACATCGCACGGGAAATAATCTAGTTTTTATTATTTCAGAAAAAATACG